GAAAGAGTGCCCACAGAAAAGGCCTGGACAAATCAGCACAGAAAAAAGTGACTCGGAATCACCACATCAAACAAGAACTTTCTCCAAAAGCAGGATTTTTTTTTTTTTTTTTTTGAAATGTACGTCCCAAATTATTTTATTGTTTATCTTCCATGTGTCCAGCCCAGAGGTTTGAACTCCAGGGAAAGACTTCAAGGCGTTCATTTGTTTATCAGATTATCAAGGGGAATCAAGAGACAACAGACCTACAGTTTTGCTCCAGAGTTAAGTGCAGAGGCTCTGGAATCAGACAACTTAATTGCCGTGATGCCTTGGGCAGGTTACTAATCTCTCTGAGCTTCAGTTTCCTCATTCATAAAGTGGAAGTAGCAAGAATAATGATCTAGCTGAACTTCAGCAATCCCAGTTTTATCGTCTCAGATTAACACACAATGGAAACCTTAACCCAAAGATCTGTGAAAATTAATTACAAAATAAAACCATAAAATTTTAGAGCTGGAAAAGCCTATAAATCATCTAAACCAGTGTTACTTACACAATTATGTATTTATTTTTACGTATGTATTTTTTAAAACACTGGCTTTACATTTACAGTAGTGATAAAGATGATCCAAAGAAAATGAATACACAAATACTAATATAGTAGTATACAATGCAAGAAGCACCTAATGACAATACAATGCAAGAAGCACCTAATGACAACACAATGCCCGAAGTCTGGTAAATAGTAACCACCTCTACCCTTTTTAAGAGGTCACATGACCTGTTCAAGCAGTAGTAAGAATAGAAGAGTACAGTTAGAAATAGAGCTGGATATTAAGAGATTAGAACACCTATTTCTCCCCCAAGTTACAGAGCTGGTCCATTCCACTAGACAATTTGAATAACTCTTTAATTTTATCACTGCACTGTTTCCTCCTACCCAAAGAATTCTTACATGCCCTCCCCACCCCCAAAAAGAATAGCAGCAGGCAAATAAACTGCCAGTCACACAAATGCATCCTCCTCAGACTCAAGGCTGAGATAGAAAATGCACATCCAAATTCCAACAGGCTTGGTCCAGGGGGTCCGTTCTGGGCAAGAGGGATGGGGCAGAATTAAGAGCTCAGCATCAGCAGGACCTCCAGCTCTGGCTCAGACCATGTGGAGGCCCCAAAACCACCCTGCCGTTAGAGCAGTGTGCCTCTGGGCTAGTGATTTCTCCAAGTCTGTTTTCTCATTTGTAAAATGAGTAACAGTACATGAGATAATTTGTGGGTGAAGCAGTGCCTGGCATGGAGTAAAGTCTTTACAACCACAGGGCCAGCAGAGTGCCTGGGGCAATAGCTAACACACAGAAAGCACTCTAAATGTTTGCTGAATACAGCAGAGGCCCAATTAAAGCAAGCCTGAGAGTCACTCAAAATTCATGGGCCCGGGGCTTCCCTGGTTGGCGCAGTGGTTGAGAGTCCGCCTGCCGATGCAGGGGACACGGGTTCGCGCCCCGGTCCGGGAGGATCCCACATGCCACGCAGTGGCTGGGCCCATGAGGCATGGCCGCTGAGCCTGCGCGTCCGGAGCCTGTGCTCCACAACGGGAGAGGCCACAACAGTGAGAGGCCCGCGTACCGCAAAAAAAATTAAAAATTCATGGGCCCAACCTATAAGTGGGCCCCTAACTTACTCCAAACCAGGGTCACACATTCCCCGAACCACCGATGGTCCTGGTCGTTGACAAAAGAAGAGTCTGTTCATACGCTTCAGGTCACAGCCTCCAGCAGAGACCCTGCCTCTGAGGAGCCTTATCACATCAAAGTTCCATGTTTATTTCACCCCAAAACACTGGCACTTGCTGCCCTGGGGCTCCACCGTCTCCCTCTTCATTTTTAGAAGCAACAGGCTCACAAAATGACACCTCAGGCACTTGACTTTACGTCTCCTTTATAGAGGCTTGGGGACAATTCTCACAGCTAGGGCCCCACTCTGCCAATGCAAGCTTTCTTAGCTGAAAGATACCACCTATTAAGAAATCCATCACAGAGAAAGGAAAAGTCAAAGACAATTCCACTGTCTGCCTTTTTTCCTGATTCTCAAAACTAAAAGATGGACCAAACTATTTTTAAATGGGTAGACTGAAAAGGCACCCAAAAAAAGATCTCAACAATCCAAGGCGCTCTTCCCTAGAGCACTCCTGTTTGGCCAGAAGGAGACATTCCCTGGCTCTGCAGAAGACAAGGCAAATCATACACAGAATGCAAAACTCATTTCCCCCCTGCCAAAGGGAAATTTGCAAAAATTGTTTTACAAAAGGTTTGAGGATCTATAAGGATGAGTTTAAACTTCTCCTTTCTGAGTGAGGACCGAGGACATTCCTTCTCAGACTTTTGAGTTTTCAAGGATATTGGGAGAGGTAAAAAGGGGAGCGAGGGAGCGGGAGAGGGAGAGGATATGTTCGTTCTATTTTTAAACCCCCGCCTACAGTTTAGAGTAAAGGAACACTCTGATTCTGTACTCCCACCCCTATCACCTTCTGCTAAACACAAGAATCAGAACCTGCACACGTACGTGACCCTGATTCTAGATCTGGGAGGTACAGGCTGCCAGTACTCCGGAGAATCGCGAGCTGACCGACCATCCCACCCACCCCTTCTCTGGGCAGCAGCTGTGCCTTTCGGAGAACCCGGCGGCCCTGAGCAGGCTGGCGCTGCGCCCAGGGAGCGAAGAAGGCACAACCCGCCTTTTTCCGAGGGGAGGCAGCGCCCCTTTGGCGGGGCCCACTCCATTCCCAAGGCTGGGCACCCAGGGGTGTGCAACTCTTCCCCAAGGGAGCGGGAGTCGTGGACGCGAAGGGGTTTCCCAGCAGGCTGCGGCGCACCAGGCACTCCAGTCCTACTCCCAGGACACCTGTGTGCCGCGCACACCCGCCGCGGCGCCCCGGAGCGCCACTCGCGCTCGGTCTCCTCCCAGCCACCCCGGAACGCAAACGGCCGGGCGACGGATCTTTTCCCTCACCGTCTTGTTGCTAGTTCGCCCATTTTACGTATCCTTTCCGCCCCACTACAAGCATCTACACCCGTCCCTCAGCGCCCGGGGGCAGAAAACCAGCCGGACACGCGACCCCCAGGGCTGAGCGCCTCCCGACGGCCCCTCCCGCCCCCGAACTCCGTCCCCGCCAGGCTCGGGGGCACTCACTCTTGAGCGCGCTCACGAGTGACTTCCCGTCCTTGATGAGCTCCTTGATGAATTTGTTGGTCTTGTCCAGCTCCGCTTCGTGTGACTTGAGCGTCTCTCGGAAGTGCGGGCTGTCGAGGCAGCAGTCGCTGAATTCGAGCGCGGGCAGCCCCATGGTGTCTGCGGCGCCCAGCCGGGGGCGCGCCTCCCCCGGGGTCCCGGCGGCCCGCAGCCCCGAGCACGCACGCGGCGGGACCCCGGCCGGCACCCGCGACGGCCGCCGGCTCCACAGGTGGGGCGCCG